TCAAGGTCGGAGCACAGCATCAGGGCCTCGAGGTCAATCTTCTCCTGCCGCAGGAGGGAGGAGAAGTCCTCCATGTGCAGGGAAGCCAGGAAGGCCTCCAGCGGGCTCGTCTCCGGCTCCAGGTCCTCATCCAGTCCCAAGTCCAGCTCGTCCCAGGGCAGCTCCTTCCCGCAGCTGCGGTCCTGCAGGCTGCTGGCACTGCCCAGGCTGTCGTCGTCCAGGCTGGGGGAGCTCTGCGGCCGGCCTCGCGGGGCGCCGCCGCTGTCCAGCGCCCCGTCCTCGCGGCCCAGCCCGAGCAGCCCGCTGCTCAAGTAGTTCCTGCGGAACACCATGGTGCCCAGGCCGGGGCGGGTAAACAGGGAGTCGTGGCCTGAGTCGGTGCTGACTTCCGAGTGGGCTGGCTCGGCCGCCAGCGTGGCACGGGAGACGCTGTCCTCGTCCGAGAGGAACATGTCCCGGAGCGGGGAGCGGCCCCACTCCTTGGGGTTGGCGTAGGTGCCCTGGCGCACGAACATCACGTCGCTGCCCAGCTGCAAGCCCGAGAGCGAGCGCACGCTCTTGCGGCCGTCCTCGGAGATCTTGAAGGTGCCCTCGCCGCCCTGCTTGCGCCGCTCCAGCTTCCGCTGGATCTTGGCCTTGCCCCTGGCCGTGCCGTGCAGCGTGGCCTGCGAGTAGGGCAGGTGGCTGCCCAGCGCCAGGTGCTGCAGCCGGCGACTCAGGGTGCTGGACGTGAGGCTGGAGAAGCTGAGCGCGTCCGAGCGCTCGGCCAGCTCGCGGCGGTAGCGCCGCTCCATGCGCTCGTGGTGCTTGCGCTGCATCTTGGCGCACTCGCGGATGCGCCGCTCCGCCTCTCGGAAGGCCTTGTCCTTCAGCTTGCCCACCAGCTTGGGGTTGAGGCTGCTCTGCTTGGCCGCGATGGAGTCCAGGTAGCGCACGCACTCCATGTGGCCCTTCATGGCGGCCATGTCCAGCGGCGTGTGGTAGTCGTTGTCCAGGCACCAGATGTTGGCCCCGAAGGACACCAGGAAGGAGAGGCAGTGCAGGTGGCCATTGGAAGCTGCCAGGTGCAGGGGCGTGTTGCCCCAGATGTCGCACTTGTCTGGGTCACCCCTGCAGGGAGGACACGCAAGGAGGGGTGATGAGCCAATACAATTTCGGCTGGGCAGACGGCACTGGCTGCAGGTGCTGCCCCACGGGCACACCGGCGGGACCCGAGGGCCTGAGACGTCTCCTCCGACTCCAGAAGATGCCAGACGGACCTGGGGAGGGGGCGAGGGGGCGGAGGCGGAAATGGGCCCAGACCTGCAGGGGGTGGGGCGACAGAAAAGGCGGGGCCAGGGCGGGGCCTTCCCCAAGAGAACTGATGGCTGGGAATCTCAGGGGATAAATATTTGATGCCCAGAGAGAAAGGAGTGAATTATTCATGGAGCCCAGCGGGGAGCTGGCCCAGAGAGGTGGTGGGCCAGGGCCGAGTCTGGGTCTCTAGGCAGGCGTGGTGGAGCGTGTGGCTGTGGGTGCAGGGGTCACTCTAAAAGAGGACACAAGAGAGTGGTGGGTGCGGAGCCTGAGCCCTGGGTGAGTGTGTGTGAGGGTGTGTGCCTGCGTGTCGGCAGGCAAGGCCACGTCTGCAGGGAGCAGGGCCAGGCCTGGCAAGGCTGCGTGTGAGAGGAGGTGTTGGGTCTTGGCCTGCGCTGGGAGGGGAGCGTGGGGGCGGCCAGGACCAAAGCGGAGGAGGAGGCAAGCTGGCAACCTGGGCCCAGCGGCGCTCCCTTCCCCAGGGCTGCCCCATCTTTGGGAGCTTTGTCAGGGAGGTTGGCATGTGCCTGCCCCGGGGGACCCACCCAGCACCCTCCAACACCCTCCACACCAGATTGTACCCCCTTGGGCATGCTCTGGCTGGCTCCTCCAAGCTCTCCCCTCCCACAGGGGCCTGGCCCAGCACCTCTGCCTCACACTAATGAGGCCACGAGGCCACCCCACAGGGCTGGAGGAAGAATCACCCCCTTGTCTCAACAGCTCCCCCCACAACCCCCTCCTCACTTCCCCTACTGGTTGCCAAGTTTTGCAGGACAATGTGGCAAGGAGCTGTTTGGCATCTGGCCCACACCCCAGCCATCACCAACCGTAGCTCTCTGTATGAGGTGGGGGATTTGGTGCACCAGGAAGGCACTCTTCTCCCTTCTTCCCATGGCCCTCTCTGTTGGGGGGCAGGATGGCAGAGTCACTGCGTGCTCTTGGTGTGGGAAGGGGCCCGCCTGGGCTTCTCAGAATGTGGCTCAGCAGCCTGGTTTCAGGGGCTGCTCCCACCTGCTGCTGGCTTGAGGAGCAGCCTCAGAGGGAGGGTAAGGGCGTTCCCCACCCACCACATGTTCAGGCCACAGACCAGCATCTGGCACCAGGGCCAGCTGGGCCCCTTTCCCTCCACCGTGATTTCCCAGGGCCTACGATGTTCCTGTGAACCCTCCTGGGGCATGTCTTCCACTCCTTTTCCCTGTCCAGCTGCCCAGGTGTCCAGTTCAACCAGGTGACCTCTCTGTATAAAACTGTGGAGGCTGGCGAAGTTGTCCACAGTGTCATTCAGCCCCGGGAGCCCACATCAGCAGCCCTGGACCCTGAATTCCTTCATTGCTACATTCAAATCCCTTCCCTGGCCCTGACACCTGGACTCTAGGCCCACTCCTCCCCCGAGACAACTCCGAAAGGAGGCAGAGTGAGCCTGCTTTGGGGGAGGGGCACAGAGGGAGTTAATGAGGTGGCTGCACCCACTGACATTTGGTGTCGGGGACAGTGCCCATAAATCCCAAGAATGAGCTGGGAGAGAGCTGGGAGAGCCCTAGCCTGCGGGGAGATCAGCACCCCTCAGACCGCAGGCTGGGGAGTGGGCGCTAAGGAGCCTCTCCTCGAGAGGCCTGTGCCCCTTCTCTCCCCTCCCCACTCTTGCTTCCCCGTGCCGCCCCCCCCCCCCCCCGCCCGGGAGACCTCTCCCACCTTCCCCTCACTCTGCAGCCCCTCCTATAATCATGGTTCCCCAAACCCAGTCCCTCTCTTCCTAGCCCCACATCCAGGTCACAGATGTCACATGCCTCGAGTTGTGTCCCCCTCCCACAACTGCCAGGCTCCAGGGTCCCACCTTAGGGTCAGTCCCGCAGCGAAGAGGGCAGCTCAGAGGAGAGAGGGGGAAGATACCCTGGAGTCTTGGGGAGTGTGTCTCAGGGGACCGGAGCGGCCTGAACACTCTCTTTGCCCTCCACTGGGGGGCTTAGGCAGGGACAGGGTGGGTACTCACCCTCGGCTCACGATGAGACGCAGCGACTCCAGGTTGCCATGGTAGGCAGCCCAGAGGGTGGGAGTCATGCCATCCTCATCCGGGGCGTTCAGCTCCTTCCTGGTGGCCTCTTTGAGGAGCTCCAGGTAGCCGTCCCGGGCCGCCCGGTGGTACTGGTCGTTCATGGTGCCTGACTTGAACCGGGTGGGCAGGGCGCGCGGGGAAATGCCCCCCGCGGGGGAGGGCGGCGGAGTTAGGGCTGAGGCATGGGGTTGGGGGAGGGGGCCGAGCAGGGGCCGGGGCCGCCAGCCCCCGCTGCCGCGGACGGAGGTTGCGGAGCGCCACAGCCGCAGCTACTCGGACATCTGAGCCGCTCACCCCGGGAAGGGCGGGGGGTGGGGTGGGGGGAGGATCCCCCGCTGCCCAGGGAGCCGCCCGCGGGTTGCCCCTGGGTCCTAAACACCCTGCTCCCGAGCGCACAGGGGTGACACACGCGAGGCCCTGCCCTCGCTCCAAAAGTGGTGACCGCAGCGCCCCGTCCCATGAGGCCCAGTCTGGGGGACAGTACGGGGTCTGTCCTCACTGGATCCCGGCTCTGCGGTTCCCGATGTCTCCACCCGTCGAAGGAAGGGGCCAAGGGCTGGGGAGGGGTGTCTGCGGGCAGTCTGGATCCCTAGGACCGTGGGCCTAGGACGAGTAGGAGGACTGACGCCCAGACAGCGAGGCGCATCGGGCAGTCCTGGCGGCCCCTCGCCCGCGCGAGGTCGGCGAGCCGCGGTCCAGCAGGGGGCGCTAGAAGACTGGACGCGGACTCCGCGCGCCGCAGGCGAACTTCCTACCCAAGCCCGACTTCGCAGCTTCCAGCGGAGCCGAAGACTGCGGGGAGGGATAGAGAAAGAAGGAACTTCGATCACTGTGAGGGAGTCGGGGAAAGGGGCACTGGGGTCCCGATCTTGGGGCAGCAACAGAGGAGCAGGAAGGTATAGGGTGCGCCGGGCCTGGAAGGACGTCGGGGTGCCTGCGGGCCTTTGGGAGTCTATTGAGCATCAGCACTAGGGGCTCTGGACGGCGGGGACCGCGGGGCTCAAGGGCGCGGTGGGCGCCGGGGGCGGGGTGCCCTCTGGGTGCCGCAGTGCATGGCTGCGCCCAAGCCTGGCCGCGCCAAGGTGACGGGACGGCGGGGGAGGGGGCGCCTCTTAACGGGTAAATATAAATCTTACCTTATCTGGCTCCCGCTCTCTGTTCCCTAAATTCAGCTCGGAGAAAAGATGGATCATGTGAGTGGGACTGAGAGATTTATGGAGCCGAGCTCCCGCGGCTGTAAATCACCCTGCCCTCCCCGGTATAAAGTGCCCGTCCAGCCCGGTGTGGGAGAGAGGAGACGCTCGCCGTCCCCTGACCCCCAGCTCAACGCGGGCTCCCGGCCCAGCCAGGTGGGTGCCCGGATCAGACGGTCGACGGACTGGGAAGTGGGGACGTTAGACGGGGTCCGACGGGGCTACCGCCGCTTCTTCTTCCCTCAGTCGTTGATCGAGGGACCCGAAGTGTCGGCTTTTCTTTTCCCTTTCGCCAGCGCTTCCTCCACCACCCGCAGCCCCCACCCTCTGGGTGAGGAACTTCTCATTTCCTAAATCCAGGGATAAGATGGGGGAAGGAGAGCCCTCGGGGTTGACCTAGGGTCCTGTCCGCTTCTCCTCCACAGTGACCCGTCCAACCTCCCCCAGTCACCCCTGCCATGTCCGAGGAGTCGGCCCCGGGCCCCAAAGAGAGCCCGCCAGCGGCGCCGCGGGCAGGCTCCCGCGAGGTGTGGAAGAAGGGCGGCCGTCTGCTGTCCGTGCTGCTGGCCGTGAACGTACTGCTTCTCGCCTGCACGCTCATCAGTGGCGGCGCCTTCAACAAGGTAGCGGTGTATGACACCGACGTGTTCGCGCTGCTCACTACCATGATGCTGCTCGCCTCCCTCTGGATCCTCTTCTACCTCCTCCGGACCGTGCGCTGCCCCGACGCCGTCCCCTATCAGGACGCGCACGCCGGCCCCATCTGGCTCCGAGGTGCCAGGGGAGGTGGGGGGGTGGGGAGGGGGCAGGAGAGGAGCCAGAGCCTGGGACTCTCAGAGGAATTCTGGAGTGCGTGTCAAGGTAGGGGGCTGAGAAATTCCTGGGGGGCCAGATGTGGCTGAAGATGAGATGGGCTGCGGTTGAAAGAGAAGAGGAAGGGAAATAGTCTTGGAAGAAGAATGAAGTGAGGGATGGAGGGGAACTTCTTGGCTCTTCCTAAAGATTGAAAAGGAGTGGTCATGGGAGAGCCCTTTGATGGAGAGCAGAGAACAGATGACAGCTGCAACTGAAAGAGCCCACCTAGGGCCATTCTTCCCCCAATCCATGCAGCCCCAAAGAGATAGGAGCTCAATAGGATATCCATCCATCCATCCACCCACTCAATCCTATACTCATCCTCCATCCACCCATTCATCTTTCAATCCATCCATTCACCCACCCACCTATCCATCCATCCATCAATCTATCCATCCATCCATCCGTCCGTCCATCCGTCCATCCATCCATCCATCCGTCCATCCGTCCGTCCATCCATCCGTCCATCCATCCATCCGTCCATCCGTCCGTCCATCCATCCATCCATCCATCCTTACAACCAGCCAGCCAGCCATTTATCCATCCTCTCACCCACCCCATTCATCTGTCCATTGATCCTCTCACCTACCCTATTCATCTCTTCATCCATCCACCCAACCATCCAACCAAACACCCATCTAGCCATCCATCCTCAGATCTATAAACCATCCTCAGATCTATAAACCATCCTCTCTGACCCATCCCCCACCCCTCATTCCCAGGTGGGCTGGTGCTGTTTGGGATCTGCACTCTTGTCATGGATGTCTTCAAGACTGGCTACTACTCCAGTTTCTTTGAGTGCCAGTCAGCCATCAAGATCCTGCACCCTCTCACCCAGGCTGTGTTTGTCATCGTCCAGGTGGGTGGGAGGAGTGTTCTTGACTGTGGTGGAAAGAAGCCAACACCTGGCATGAGGTCAGGAGATCCCTACTCTTCTACCCTGAGCAATCAAGTAAGGTGGGGATAGGACTGTAGCGTGGCTCACATGAGTCCATACACCTGGAAGCACTTGATAATGAAGTAATATCCAAATGTGAGCTCCTACTTAGGTGCCCTGTGATTTCATTTCAACGCAAGCAGTGCCAGTATTAACATCTAAGATGTCTGAGTTGTGACAGCTGCCATGTTTCCTAGAACCTGGCTCGCCCTCCCTAGGTGCCTATAGAGGGCACCAATCTCAGCCCAGGGTCCTGCTGTGGGCATGGCCGGTTTGGCCTCAGCTACAGCCCATATGTTCTATATTTGTTCAGGAAATAGGTATCCTGTACCTGGGATTTTTCAAACAAGTTCAAGTATATATAGTTTTATTTGTTGCATACATAAAATGCTGAAAGATCTTCTGATTGAGCTGAGGCAGGACTTGTCTTACATGGGACCACAACAGATCTCATCCCTGCACCATGACCAGAATGACTACATGTAGGGTTCCCTCTCCTGAAACATCACCCCTGCTGTGCAGATTTCCACAATTCAACACATTTATGACTTCAGTACCTATAATAGTTTTACCCTTTTTCAGTTTGTGGATTTGAAGAATACTCAGGTAAAATGAAAATACAGACACCAACATCAACAAATACCCCGACAAGGATTTGTTGGCAACCAGGGAGGATTGCAGGACAAGAAAGGATGGGGTTGGGGCAGGGGATGTTGCCAAAGGAAGGCGAGAAGGCACCAGAGATTCTCTCTACTTTGGACAAGACCCAGCCTCAGGCTGGCCTCGCTCCCAGGAAAAAGTAACTAGACAGTAAAAACTCTACCTGAAGACAAAACAAAACACCAAGAGTTTACAGGTAACATTTTGCAAACTCTGAAAGAACAGAGAACTCTTTTATACAAATTGTTCCAGAGAAAGAGAGAAAGCTCCTGACTCATTTTGTAAAGCTAAAATAAACTTGGTAGGTTAGTATGGGGGCTCTTGAGGTGGAGGGAACATACTGCTGGGTTTGGACATAGGCACTCCAGAGTTTAGTCTGTCTGCAGAGTGAATGACCTCCCCCACTCTCTCCCAACACAGACTTACTTTCTCTGGGTCTCCTCTAAAGACTGCATTCACGTCCATCTGGATCTGACCCGGTGAGTGCTGGCTCCACAGCTCAACATCCATGCCCCGCTGGGGATGAGCTTTCCAACCTGGGGCCTGGGTCCTCTTTCTGCACCCTGTGTGGGGTTTCAGCCAAGGCCCCTTTGCTCTGTTAGCCTGATCCACCACTCTGTGCTGGGTTGTGTGTATGTGTGTGCCTACAACTCATACCTGTGTGTTTTGGTGCATGGGTTATATAGTGCACTAAATGTGCTTTCCTCTAGGAGAGGGAGCAGCAGTGGTCTGAGCCCCTGGACACCCCCTGGCCCTCTCTTGGGTGGCATCCTGGCCAGACTAAGTGTTCTTTCCAAACTCAGCCTCTCTATTCACACAGGGGCCTGACTGTTTTCTTGCTTCCCAACATCATCTCCCAGCATAGCTCCCCAGCTTTCCATCTCCCCAGGGACCCACGATGGGCCAGCATCTCACTGGCCTCTTTGCTCCCCCTCCCCCAACAGGTGTGGTCTCATGTTCACCCTCACCACCAACCTGGCCATCTGGATGGCAGCCGTAGTGGACGAGTCCGTGCACCAGACCCACTCCTATGATAGTTCCCACGGCAACGCTAGCCACCTTCACCTCACTCCTGACCGTGAGTGTCCACTCCAGATTAAACCTGGGCCAGGGACTTCCAGGCCTTAGCCTGGGTGGGGTGCTTGTCTCCCTTCCCCTCACGAGAGAGGAGAGCCTCCTCCTGCCCCAGGCTCTGCCTCTGAAGAAGTATAGATGTAGGTGACACCAGAAGGAGGGTGTCAGGGGCATCTTCTCTTTCTGGAGGATGCAGCCTTGGCCTCACTGTTCAGGTCTCCAACCCACCAAAGAAGGGATTTGCGCTCCAGAATGAAAGAGTGAGGGTGATCAAAGTGAAGGGCAGAAAAGGGAGGCAGAATAGCTCAATGGGGGAAGCATGGGACAGAGTCTGTCAAGGAGAAGGTAGAAATAATCATCACAACGACAATATTGACACTTTACTGAGCTCCATGTGTCGGGTGCTATGCTAAGTGTCCTAAACACTCTACCTTACTTAACCCTCACAACTTCCCAATGAGATGGGTACTATTTTTTTTTTTTTTTTAGAGAAAGAGAGAGAGAGCAGGAGAGGGGAGGGGGCGCAGAGGGAGGAAGAGAATCTTAAGCAGAGTCCTCACTGAGCCCAGAGCCTGACGCAGGGCTTGATCTCACAACCCTGAGATCATGATCTGATCCGAAATCAAGAGTCAGAGGCTTAATCAATTGAGCCCCGAGATGAGAAACTAAGGCATAAAAGGTTAAATAGAGCTTGAAATTGGGACAACTACTGTTGAGATCCGTCTTTGCTCTGAACCACTCTCCTATACTGAAGAAGAATAGGATCCACAGGCCCCCTGGTCCTAGTTCTCTGGACTTCTGTAGGGCCCCCCCAACTAACCAGGACCAGATTAGATGACTAAGTCCATCTGAATTTTGCCTGAAGACACACACACTCCCAGTATGGAAGGGTCCAGGAACAGAAAGCATGGAGCAGGAGACCCCAGCCCAGCAGGACTGATAAAGGGCCACGTTGCACATACAGAGGGTTCCTGAGGATGGTTAAAACCAACCCGGAGGGGGTGCCCGGGTGGTTCAGTCGGTTAAGTGTTGGACTCTTGATTTTGGCTCAGGTCATGATCTCAGGGTCATGAGATTGAGCCGTGCATTGGGCTCTGAGCTGGGTGGACGTGGAGCCTGCTTAAGATTCTCTCTTCCTCTCCCTCTGCCCCTCCCCCTGCGCACACGCATGCTCTCTCTCTCTCTCTCTCTCTAAAACAAAACAAAACCAAAAAAAACAACCTGGAGAGGTGGCCAACTTAACATGCTGGGGCCCTGGGGTGCCGAGAGGCGTACTAAGAAGGTACCTGCCCTGGGGTTGCGAGCCAGGTCAATAGATCTGCCATTGCAAGCCACTTTACCTCAGTGAGCCTCAGTTTCTGCATCTGCAAAACCAGTGGGAATAGTTCTGGGGATCCAAAGAGATGTTTGCCAAGATCCAAGGCATTCTATAAAGCGCACTCTGGACACAGGACAAAATTCCTATAGGTGTGTTACAATCCAAAATGATGGGGGCGGGGTCACAGGAGACACCTGGCCAAAGCAGTTCACATTCTGGACTGAGTCAGATGCCGGGGAGAGCTGTGAGGAAGCGTGAACTCTCGGGGTTCCCAAGAGGGGCACCATCTATCAGGAACTTTGTCTGTCTCGGGAAGCCAGGGGTGGTTACTGGTTGGGAAGGATTGGAAATGTCTGCCTGCAGGAACAGAATGGGATGAAGTGGTCAGAATCTGCAGTTCCGATTTTTGTTTACTGAGCACTGGCTGTTTCCTGATGTGTCCCAGCCTCTGGCACATAGCAGGTGCTCAGTAAATACTTGTGGAATGAACACGCGCCGGGCCCTGCGTAGGCATTTCGGGACATGGTGGTGAATATGGCAGACAGTGATTCCATCCTAACAAAAGTCACAGTCGAGAGGTGAGGTTCTTCTCCAGGAAGGTGGGAGGGAGGTCCAGCTCTCTGCCTCTCTCCCCACAGCAGAGCGAGCGGGCAGCTCGGTGGGAGGAGACTGTTCCTGCAACACAGCCATCTGCCAGATCTTCCAGCAGGGCTACTTCTACCTGTATCCCTTCAACATTGAGTATAGCCTGTTTGCTTCCACCATGCTGTATGTCATGTGGAAGAATGTGGGCAGGCTGCTGGCCTCCTCCACACATGGCCACGGCCACGGCCACGGCCACACGCCGTCCCGGGTCAGCCTCTTCCGGGAGACCCTTTTCGCTGGCCCGATCCTGGGCCTGATGCTCTTTGTGGTGGGGCTGGCCGTCTTCATCATCTATGAGGTCCAAGTGAGTGGGGAGAGGGGCCGCACCCAGCAGGCCCTGGTCATCTACTACAGCTTCAACATCATCTGTCTGGGGCTTATGACCTTGGTCAGCCTGAGCGGCTCAATCATCTACCGTTTTGATCGCCGGGCCATGGATCACCATAAGAACCCCACTCGAACCCTGGATGTGGCACTGCTGGTGGGTGCTGCCCTGGGCCAGTATGCTATCTCCTACTACTCTCTCGTAGCCGTGGTGGTGGGCACACCCAGGGACCTACTGGGGGGGCTCAACCTAGCCCATGCTCTGCTCATGATCGCCCAGCACACCTTCCAGAATGTGTTCATCATCGAGAGCCTCCACCGGGGACCACCCGGGGCTGAACCTCATGATACCACCCCCAAAGAGTCCTGCCATGGCCTTACCTTTGCCAACCTGGATGCCCTCCACACCTTGCCTGCCTGCCCACCCACTCCCAGGCTGGTTGGCACCAACCCAGTGGACCCTCAGGAAACAATGGCTATCATCTTGGCCCCCAGGGGCCACTGGAGACGCCGGTGCCTGAAGGACATTTCTCTGTTTCTCCTGCTCTGCAATGTCATTGTAAGTAACTGGGGGTTGCGGGGGGCGGGGGGCGGAGATGGGAATGGGCTGAGGGGAAGAGAAGGCCAAGCCAGGATGCTCTTTCAGGTTTATTCACTTGGCCTTCTCTGTCTTGCCCCCAGGCCACTTGAGAAGCCTACAGCTCTCCAGGAGAGAAGCAGGTTCAGAGAGGGTCAAATGCAGCCCCTGGGCAAACAGCATCTCAGGGCACAGAGAAAGAATGAAATCCCAGCCTTCTGGCATCTAGGCTGCAGATGGAACCGGAGGGGTCCCAGGGAATGCTGACATGGGGGCTGGGCGGAAGTGAGAGGGAGCTGTGAAGTGAGGTAGAAGGAGGGTGCCCTTGCCCCTAGGTGGAAGGTGTGACTGCTCCTGGGAACTTGTGACCAGCCTGCTTCTCAGAATAATTGGAGCAGCATCAGGAAGTAGCAGAGACCAGCATAAGTGTGAGCACTCTTAGCAGAGTGCTGCAGTGGGCTGGCCTGGAAGGGGGCGTTCACAACAGCGCCCCCTCCCTTCTAATTCAGCAGAACCGCTTACTAAGAGAAATTCAGTATGTTAGCAACAGACTTCACCCCAGGACAGACACACTCCCCATGAAGACACACACCCCAGTAAAGGAATACCCCTCATGTGGCTACAACCCAATAGAGAAACGCTCAACTGTAGATAAAATCCTCAGGGGAGAAATGTCTAATATGTAATCATGGACCCATGTGAGTACATCCCAAATAAAGAACACAGCTCTACTGAAGTTTCACTCAATATAAAAATGGCCCCTTTCAGCTATAACCTCCAACAGAAAAATATCCCTAATATACAAACAAACACCCTTAATGTGGGTCTATCCCAATGTAGAGCACGTCTCCAGAGTGATTCCAGCCCAGTGCACGCTACGTAAAATACACCAACAGCCCTTACTTGGGTGCATTCTTAGTGTGTTCCCACTGTGAATATTGCCCAACCTGCAGGTAATCTTTAAAAAAAAAAAAAGTGATCATCAATCTCTGACCTCCTTATATCTTGGGCCAGCTTGGGAGCCTGTCCCCAGCCTGGCCCCACCCTCACCTCCCCCACCCCAACCCCCACCCAGAGCCCCTCCTGCAGGCTGGGAGCCACCTTGTGGGAGGATGTTTTTGCTCCAGGTATCTGTTCCTGGGTCACCTCTAGGAGCATCATCTCCAACTCCATTTCATAGGACAGAAACAGGCTCAGAAAGGAGCCGTGTGTGCCCAAGGACACAGTTAACTGGGGTTGGGGAGGGTGGGGCTGGCCTAGAAGCCATTGTTCTTTGCCTCATACCCCACACCTGAACCGTCTGAGCTCCAGCCAGAGATGAAGCAGGATTCCATCATTAACATCCTCCGAGACCTGGGAAAGGAGCGGAGCTGGAGAACAGAGCTTATAGAGGGTGGTGGTGGGGTACACTTGTGGCTGGATCCCGACACCCCTGCCCTGGGCCTGTCTGATTCTACCACCACCCTGCACACCTCTCTCCTGGAGAGCTGCTGATTTAGCCGTTTGTACCAAATTCTCACATCATCTATCTTCCCCTCCTCCCCATCTGACAAATGAGCCATAATAACAGGGCAGAAGAGGTGATTGCAGGGGGAACCTTAGCCTGGGGGTGGGCGAGTTCAGTTTGGCACATTTTCTGAGCTCCTTAGTGAATGCCAAACCCTGCCCTAGATTCTGAGGTTCCCCACTCACCACCCCAGAGGGCTGGGACGCCCCCATCTTCTCACCCCCCCAGCAAAGCCCACAGCAATGACCTGCAAGTGGCCAGTCCCGGCCCGGTCCTGACACGCCCCTGTCTCCCCACAGCTGTGGATCATGCCTGCCTTCGGAGCCCGCCCTCACTTCAGCAACACTGTGGAGGTGGACTTCTATGGCTACTCGCTCTGGGCAGCCATCGTCAATATCTGCCTGCCCTTCGGCATCTTCTACCGTATGCATGCTGTCTCCAGCCTGCTGGAGGTCTACGTGTTGTCCTGAAGCCCCCCACAGACATGTAGGGGTGCGGCTCACCTCATGTACCCACTCAGAGACCCCCAGGAAAGAACCCCAGGCTGGCAGTCCCTGTGCCACATTACCCACCATTCTCCACCCCCCACCCCCACCCCGGGGGGGGGGGACCCAGGGTAGAATTTGCACCAAATTTATTTTTCCAGGATGAATTTTTACATCACAATCAGAACATACCCACCCACCCCAGCATGATCCTGGAGTATGGAGTGACCAGGGAGGGGGAGACCTATCCCTACAGTATCCAGGACAAGGCAAGATCTGGAAGTGTCCACGGCTCTGGCACCACCCCTGATCCCAGCCCTGAAACCTGGCCAGGACTGCTGCCTGGAGCTGGAACCACCTGCAGTTCACCCCCCCACCCCCACTTCTTATCTCAGCTGCCCCATCTGAGACGATTGCAGGAGAGGATCTTGGGGGTCAGAGATGGAAGTAACCTGAGATTGTCAGGTCTCAAGTTTTTCAGTGGGTGAGCCAAAGCTGAGTTACAGATGGTTACAGACCGGTTAGTACCTAGGTGGCTGGGTGGGGCTGGACAGAGTACGCAGGCTGCCATCTTCCTTTTCTCCTTACCCTCAAATGACAGATACATTTGTTTATGTGTTCCATGAAGCATGAAAGGTTAGGAAAGACTGCCCTAGCCCAACTACCATTTTACAAAGGAAACTGAAGCCGGGAGAGGTAAAGTGACTTGCCCAAGGTCACAGAGCTAAAGAGAGCCAGAGCCCTTCTACTAAGAATAATAATTTTCAAACAGCAGAACTTCTTTTTCTTTAAATAAAATATTTCAGGAACCCAAGTTTATAATGGAAACAGGACTGTTCTAGTTTAAGAGGTATTGGGGGGCACCGAACCTTACTTCAGGGGGCCTCCTCTTACCCACCACCCCCACTCCCTGGGGGTCCCCGAGGCAAAGCCCTGGGGCTTCTAATCCAGGAAAGGCATGAGAAGGATTTAGCAGGGAGAGAACCTGAGAAAGCCAAGCAGAGATTCAAGAGGAGGCCCTGCCAACTAGAAGAGGAGGAAGTATCCGTGGCCAGCCACAGTCAGGTGAAGGGGGGACAGGCTAGAGTGGGGGTCGGGGTGGGGGCTGGGGTGGGAGAGGTGGGAGGAGCAGCACCTGGAGCACTGGGGACTTGAGAGGAAGATGCACCTGGACCCTGCCAGCAGAATGGGGGGGGGCAGGTCTCAGAGGCTGTGCGAAGAGTGAAGAGGGCCAGAGGGGGCGACTTCCCTCCCTACCCGCCTCCTGTCCCGTCAGAACGAGGTCTCTTCAGCCCCAAGTTCACGTTCGATTTAGGGAGAGAGAGTGGAGTGGCGAGGTTGCTGCAAGACCGCACCCCTCCCGGGTGCTGGGTGGGGTACGAGAAAAGAAGACACCAGAGCTGGGCGGGGAGGGGGTCCAGTCTGTTCCCTGCTTGGCCACCAAAGAGAGTGTGGCCTGAACCCCTTCGCTGCGGCTTAAGGACGTTGCACCCCTCCCCACCAGGGAGGCGGGCGGTCGCGGGCCCTCTGACCCTGAGGCTGCAAGCCTGCACCGCCTTCCGCCTAGCCGCCTCGCTATTGGCTGCACGGTCCGGGCTGGAGCCCCTGGCAATTAACGAAGGATTAATGAGATCCCCAGAGTCAACAGAAAAATCGATAGGCCGAGGAGCCCGAGCAGCGGCTGCGCAGTCCCGCGAGGAAAGGGCGTCGGGGGTATCCGGGCGGGTGCAGGGGCCTCACCTGGACTGACGATCGGCGCTGCGCTAGCAGTCGGTGGTCAGCCGGCCGCGATACCCGCCCAGGCCTCAGGTAAGGAAGGCTCCTGGTGGCCCGGCTGGGCACAAGGAGCAGCCCTGGACTGCTGGCGGGATATTCCCGGCGGGCACACCCTTGACATTCACACCCACTTCGCCCCCAAAACTGGGTTCAAAGACAAGGGGCTGCAGGGAGAGGGGAGGGAGGGCGGGATGACTTGGCGGAGACCAACACCTGGAGACCGGAGAACCGGCCCCTCTCTGCCCCCTACCCCAACTCTAGCCCCACGGGGCACCTCCTTTCCGCGGATGGAGCTCACAAAAGTCAGCAGGGCATGCCCCATCCCAGCCGGTCTGGGCTCATACAGGCAAAGGTGGGTGCCGAGGCCAGAAAGAAGTAAAAACACGGACGGCTGGGTAAAGGGGTGTGGAATTGGGACTGCTTGGACTTCCAGTCTGAGGCATATGTGTAGCGGCTGCCCCAGGCCCCGCGGCCCCTCGAGTGGCTCCTAGAGAAATCCGCAATCTCCCAGCCCCCGCTCAGCAGCCTCCTCCGGAGCTGGCCCTGCGCTCCTAGCCAGGCGCCGCGCCCCGACGGCTGCGCCGCTTTCATCACCTGTCTCTCATCGCGACCCACAAACTAGTTTGGTGTTCCTGCCCTCCCTTGGACTGGCGTCGCGCCGATGGAAGGGCCAGAGGGCTGCGGATTCTTCCTTGTCAGTCCTAGGTGCCCTGCCCCTCTTCCCCAAGACCCCCTACGTGCCCCACCCTGTAACCCTCCCCGCGGCCGAATTCGCCACTTTCAGGGCTCCCTCTAGCGACCGTTGGAGGGTTGGATTGGGGGTGGGGAGGATAGGGAAGATAGGGCGAGGACCCTGGAGAGAGAGGACCCGGAATTTTGTCCTCCAGTGTCCCCTCTAGGCTTGCAGCCCAAGCAAAAACCGCCCTGAGATTCACCAGTAATCCTGACCCTTCCAGCCTCTCCAGGACCTCGGCCGAACTGGAAGGAAATGCACAAGTAGCTAACAGGCTCTATGTGCATTTACATGCTTTAAATCATTTAATTTTTACGAAACCCCTATGAGGTAGGTATTATGCATTAAGTCCTTCGTGTGTTCACTCAAGAAATCTTTACTGAGCATCTTCTATGTACCAGGTACTATTCCATGGTTGTATATCCATTTTACATCATGGGAAACTGAGGCACAGAGAGTCTAAGTAGCTTATCCAAGATCACAGAGGTAGTAAGTGCCAGAATCTGGGCTCTTTTTTTTTTTTAAAGATTATTTTATTTATTTATTTATTTGATAGAGAGAGAAAGCAGAAAGAGAGCACACGAGCTGTGGTGGGGGGTGGAGGGGCAGAGGGAAAGGGAGAAGAAGACTCCCTGCAGAGCAGGCAGCCCGACCTGGAGCTCAATCCCAGGATTCTGGGATCGTGACCTGAACCAAAAGCAGACACTTAACAGGCTGAGCCACCCAAGAGCCCCCAGAATCTGGGCTCTTAATTATTAGGTTATACTGCCCTGGGAAGACGAGGGAGATTCTGGGGAAGGCCGAAAAGGAGCAGTTAGAGTTGGGAAAAAAGGAGCAGGGAGGTGTCCCTATGAGGCTTATGCTTGCTCAGTTTAGGTGGGGGAGCCTGGGAGGAAAACCAAAGATCATCTCTAAAGTCCCCTGGGCTGGGCCAGGATGGAAAGCACATAAAGGGAAGGGTCTCTGTCCACGCCTCGGGTGCTGAAATCTCCCCCAGAAAATGGCAGAATCAGTCAGCGAGAGTGTCTTGCCTGTGCTAGGTTTGGAGAGTTCGAGTTAAGCAGGACCTGGTCTCCACCCTGGAGGAGTTCCTGGCTTTGAGGGGAGCCAGCCATGCCCACAGCACACCCACTTTCAATAGATGCTTGGGCAGGGAGAGAATGCTTCCCAGGCGAGGTGCTTAAGGTAGATTGTGAGGATGGGCACATCTCCACATTGGTGGAGGGTAGCAGGCAAGACAGGGAAGAGCAGGCTCCGGGAGTGAAGTGGGGAGGCAGGAAGCCACACAAGAAATGCGGAGCCCTGGAGCCCTCTGGCTAGGCCTGGATCAACATGGGGGCAGGTGCCCGAGTTTGACAGAAGGGTCGGACAGGGAGGGGGGGAAACTGGAGCAAAGATGACAGAGAGGACTGGGAAAGGGGGACAAAATCACTTGTAGAATCTTAAAGAGAGGACTGAGTTTTCTTATTCTATTTGCCATAAGAGAACCAAAGAAGGTATAAATACTGAGCAAGTTCACATGGGAGTGTGGGGGCTGGAGAGGCTGTATTTTAAAGCCAAATGTGGTAAGGATCTTTTGGAAGTTACAGAGAGGAAAAGGCTAAAGCTTCTGAAGCTCCAAGTCCACAGGCAAAGACAGAACAAAGCACAGTGAGTTAAAACGGATCGAGCATGATAGGTGATGCTCCAGCAACAAGCATGGGGTGCAGCGGGGATACCTCGTGCAGCCTTGGCATGGAGTTCAGGAAAGGCTGCTTAGAGGAGGTGGAGTTCTGCTTTAAGATGCAATCAGCCAAAGGGCAATGGGGTGGGCATTACGGGCAAAGGATGGCATGTGGGTGGATAGGGAGGTGAGAAAAAGCCAGCACACCCTGGGAGCTGCAGCAAGATGACACAGCCCACAGCAGGGAGTGGGGTCTGAGGACCATGCTAGAGAGGTAAGCCAAGGGCAGACTAGGAAGCAAGAGAAGCTAGCCTCCAAGCCCGGGTTAAACATGCACTGCCTGGTTTCGTTTTGAAAGGTTGTGCAGGCCATGCGAGGTAGTTTGGACTTTATACTGAGGGCAATTGTTTGCCTTTTTTTCATTTATTATTTTAACCCAAGTATAATTAACATACATTGTTATATTAGTTTCAGGTGTACCCTATAGTGATTCAACAATTCTATACATTCGTCAGTACTCATCACGATAAGTGTGCTCTTAATCCCCAACATGTACTTCACCCACCTCCCACCCACCTCCCCTCTGTAACCACCAGTTTGTTCTCTATGTTTAAGAGTCTGATTTCTCGTGTCTCCTTTTTTCTTTGTTCATTTGTTCCTTAAATTCCATATATGAGTGAAATTGTGGTATTTGTCTTTCTCTGACTGACTTATTGAAATAAGTCCCAGCAATTGGTTGCCTTTGTTGGGCTCGAAGTAGGAGAGAGTCATAGTGGATGGGGAGAGTCACAGTGGATAAGGAGACAGTCCAAG